TGGCGGTGGAGAGGGGCCTGGCACAGCAGCCGCAGCCGGGCTCGGGAGCCAGCGCCAGCAGCTGCTCCCAGTGCGGCTGGGCGCCCCACACAACTGCGCCGCCCGTAGGGCCCCCACCCCCCAATGCCCCCACACACGCGCACCCGTCAGCGTCTCCTGGCCCAGGATGGCGTCCGCCGCCGCCAGCAGCGCCGCCTTGTGCGCCTGCAGGTCGTACAGGTTGCGGTTGTATGCCTCCACCAGCAGCGAGTGCACCGCGGCGCGCATCCTGCGCCAAGAGGCAAGGGGCGGGATGAAGTGGTTGAGGGTGGTGGTTGGGGTGGTTGGGGTGGTAAAGCAGAGAGCTGGCCAAGGCATGCCCAGCAGCAGGAGCCGGGGGCTGCACCGGCACCAGGGCTCCTTGCTCGTGGATCTGGCCCGGCTGCCAACGGGAGGCCAGCGGCGCAGCCGCCGCAGCCGCGGCCCCACCTGTGCCGCGTCTCGTCCGAGGGCTGGAAGCCGCCGCCGCGGATGCTGGAGCCAAAGAGGTCGGCGTCGATGCTCTCCACTGCGGCAGCAGGCAGGCAGGGGGCAAGGCACGGCAGGGAGGCAGGTGAGCTCTCACACACACCCGGGCAAGGTTGGTGCCGTGCGGGACGGCACAGGGGGACTGTACAGGCACAGCCGGGGCCGCGAGGAGATCAGGCCCGCTCCCTGATGCCCCTGCCCGCCCCTGCAGCCGCCACCCACCGTTGACCTCAAACGTCTTCTGCACCGAGCCGGGGCGCTGCGGCACGGGCGCATACGTGGTGATGCCCAGCTCGCTCATCCCGTAATTTGCCACCAGGCGCGTGGCCAGCTGCGTGGCGTCCTGCACGCCGCAGGCAAGAGCGCGGGTGGAGGAGGGGGGCGCGGCGCGGCGTGGCGGCCGCCAGGCGGCGGCGCCGGCTCGGGCGGGGCCACGTCTCGCCCGCCAATCGCGCTGCCGCTCCTGAAGAGGCACCAGCGCACCCCAGCGCACCCCACCCCGGCCCAGCCTTGGGATACCTTGGGATACCCCACGCATGCATCCCACCCCCACCTTGAGGTCTCCCGTGGCGTAGGTGGAGGGGGAGCCGAG